TGGGAGAGGCTCCGCCCCCTCCGTGGGCGGGGCCAGGCTCCGCCAGCTCCGGGCTCCGCCCCCAGGTCCAGGAGAACCTCGCATCCAGGCTCCGTGTTCAGGGCTCTGGCGTCGCGAGGGAATTAGCCCTGGTCTGGGGGCTGCAGCTGGGCATGGGGCCCATGTGGGAATGCGGGGCAATAGGCTCCCACACCTGAGACACTGGCTACAAGACCTGCACGGTTGGGAGGCCAGGGAGAGAGCCCCGTAACACATCCTTGACCTCCCTCTGCCAGCCTGGGGATGGCCTGGACGGGAAAGGGCCTAGAAAAAACCATCTTGGTGTGGCACATAGCAGGTACCCTTCACTTTATAATATTGGGGCGTCAATGAGTTTGTGGGGGAGCAGTTCAGGACTGTGTTCTTCTGTGTATAACATGTTTGCTCTCATCGCCAGTCCCTCCTCGATTTATGCTTATTTTAAACACATGGTACATCTTGATTCTTTATGAGCACGGAGATCATATATCTCCCCAGGTGAATCCCATAACTCCTTCTCTGGATGTCTGATGTGTCAAAGAAAATTCACCTTTCACTCTTGTATAACCAGGTACAGTAGTTCCCAGGCGTAGAAAGTAAACCCAAGAATCTGATTTGTGATTTAATAAGCAATCTTCACCCCCTGCAAGCTCACAAGAGGGAAGGCTGTCTTCTCCCCTGAAGAATCCCCACTGTGGCTCTCCATTTGCAGGGCATTTTGAATTACTTCATTTTGGGGACCAGTTTTTTAAACTGTTAATTGCCCATTCATTTATGTTTGCTTGTCTTCTCTCCCTGTGACTTAAATCATTCTTCAGAAGAGAAACATGATTTTGTCTCTGATTTACTTTCATTCTTCAGGCTGAGGGCAGAAGGTTAAGAAAGAAAGCATTATATGATCGTATTCCTAATGTCAGTGCTTGTCTTTCCCTTCTTTGAGCAAAAGATTTCTTAGCCTGAGGCCTATTTTCATGTAGTCCAAACTTTTTTCTCTTAAAGAAAATGCTTTTGTCGCCTCCTGTTTTAATAAAATTGTGTTAGAATTTGTCAAAATTGCTTTTAGTATTTGAATTATCAGTCATGATTATAGCCCACAGTATAGCACTTTCCTTTCCAGCAACAAGAAAAAATACATTGAGTTCAGAGGACTTAACTTTTTAAACTTACCGTGTGGCTTCAAAGCAAGGCTGAATCCTCATTCTCTAGGATCAGTGAAACAGAGAGAGCTTTTACCTCTGAAGCCATGAACGCGCCTTCATATTGACAGTCTGCAAAGATTCAGGTGAGAGCGCCT